ATGGAGAGGATTTGAAGGATGGAGATGCCGGTTCTGGGCAACAGCAAGGTCATGGGACAGGCCAGAGCCGAACACAGTGTCCTGGGGCAGAGAGAGAAGAGGGGGAAAGGAAGGCCAGCCCGCTGGTGGGTGCTGGCAGCTGTAGGCCTGGGGTCCTCCTCTGCAGCAGCCCCCACGGCTCCCCGGGGGCTGTGTGCTTCGCAGGCCCTCAGCAGTTGTGGGCTCAACTGAACTGGCCCCCACTTGTGCCAGGCAGGCTCCCTCCTGTCCCCAACCCCATCTGGAGAGGATAATAAACAGGAAATCATGAGGCTCTGACCCAGACGGACACCAGGTCCCAGTCCAGGGTGGCCGTCCCCCAAGACAATTCCTGGCTCTACCCGCCCCTCAGCATCACTGCTCATCACTCCCAGGGCACTGAACACCAAGCCTGCACCAGCAAGCAGGTCACCGTGGCCCCACAGCAACTCGCCCAGCCAGAGACGGACGAGGAGTGTTGCTTTAAAGAGGAGGAAACAGACTTAGAGAGCGTTTGGGTGACCTGCCCAAGGCCAGACAGGAAGAGCTCTCCTGTAAGACTGCTGCCCACAAGAGCCTTGGTCTGTGGCTGGTTGAGGTTCCCAGCACCCAGTTGTCAAAATGGGGGGGGGGCTCTATTTCTGATCTGGTGAGGGCGGAGGGCCTTCAGTCCACCCCGGGAGACCCAGCTCCACTGGCTGGCACCCGCTCCACGAAGGAGGAAGAGGAGGAGGAAGAAGGTGGGGTGGGCACCACCCCAAAGTCATTTGCAGAAGGGAAACCTCTTCCTCTTTCTACATAGGCTCCCCCTGAAGAGTAGTCCGGCCTTCGCTGGCACGTCCCCAACCCTGTCCCAGGTCTTGGCCAGTCTAAGAGGGCAGGCTTCCTTCCGGAGTCCCTCCCCCAACCCTTGCTGCGCTCCTGCCCAGAGCGGGTCTGTGCATTATTAATGCCGCCAGATAAAAGGTGAGGGGCCCCCTTTTCATTCAAAATCCCATCCAACTGTCTTGGCTGACTCTACATTTTGGATCCCAGGAAAGGCATCGCTAGCTGTACCCCCCCCCT